GATAATTAATGAAAAAAATAATCGATGATAGGACAATATATTTAATGGGTAGTATTTTCCAAGCATTTCCAGCATTTCATAACATTTCATATGCTAGTCAACCTAATAACATCATTGATCCTCATTATGTTAAAATCGATTAAAATAGGTCGAGGAACTGATAATGAAGTACCTGAATGGAAAATTAGGGCTCGTTGGTCCAGTTTCATGTTTATTACTGTATCAAAGGAATATTCGACTGTTACTCGATGGACACTTCGAACGATTCACCCTGGCAAGCATTAAACATTGTACAATGAACAATTCGACGTTCCTGTGGATAGATACGTTGTACGCAGTGGAATATCGGTAAACGATAAGTCCATCGACTATGAACTTCGACAAGCTGCAATTGGAACGCAGACAGTGAACACGAACTGTCGAAGTGTTTGCCATGGAAAGATCTATCAACAAATTGCTCGTTTCGTTGTTGATTCTATAGAAGAATGAATAGAAGGTACGATATAGCTTTCCGTTGAAATAAATTGATACTATAGGATTATTTTTAATAAACAGATTGTGGATGTTCATGTATTTATAGAAAGTTGGCAGCTTAGTATCATTGTGTTTATGATAATGTTTAGTGAGTAAAATAAATCTGTGCTTAGGTTCTATTTCTTTAAATGTGCTCACAAAAATTTCAATTTAATCTACTATTTAATATAAGTCTTTATAACTATGCTATCTTAAATAATACTATAGTAAGTATATACTTAGTAACTACTATTAATAAAACTGCTATAATAATAAATAAATCTTAATTTAAATTTTCTTAATATCACGGTTATAAAAAAATTGTATTAGTAAATTGTCTCTTTAATCTTCTTTCTTGAATAAAAATACATTTAATACATTATGTGATAAACAGGTGATAAGATTCATCAGTATTACACAGTTAGTTCCCAGAACACTCATTAGGTTTTCAAAGATATGGAAGATATTGATGCCTTGAGAATTTCTTCTATTGCAAAATAGGTCTGTCGTTTAATTACTATTTTCAGATTCTGACTCTGGTATTTGATATCCTTTACCTTAGAATATATTAGTATACATTATGTACTTGTGAGATTATAAGACATAAATCATAAATATATATCATATTTTATATGATTAGGCATTGCAATCTTCAGCGATACTGTAAAAGACATATATTTCTTGATATGTTTCTGCTTCAGCAATACAATTTCTCCATATGCGCAAGAAAATGAGCCTGATCTAACCATTGTAACCGATGGTTATAGTCTCACACTAGATTATTTCGAGTGTCGAAATTGATCGAAATCGATCTGCAATATCATTAAGTAGAAGAAAGAAGTAGATTTCGTAAGTTCTGAATTAATGGAAATTTGTCTAAAGGATTAGAAAATCATGAAACGTTAGGAGAAGGTAATTTCGTCGCTGAAATCGATTGGGTAAAAAGAATGTATGAATTATTTATGATAAATTTATTTGATTTACATTTGTGTTATTACTTTTTGTATAATTGTAAATGGAATCGATAGAAAAGATGATCAATATCGATGAAAATTGGAATTAAAATTCCGGAATATAATTTGAAATATGATTTGCAAATACAATTGGTCTTCCTGTATAACATTGACTTATCGGTAAGATAGTCGACAAAATATTCATACAAACGTTTGCTAACGTTTATTGTCGTCGGGTGTGAATTAATGGAGTTATCTTATGTAATGTGTTATAGGTATCAATGGAACATGACGCATGCATTTAAAAAGCAATTACATGAATGTGGTTAAGTAACGCTGACTGGTATAAATTTCTACAATTTTAAGAATCAGGACATTTCTATTTTAATTACATGCACATCTTTATTATAAATATAATTGTTATATTTACATGCATACAAAAGGTTTTCTAAAATGGTAATTATATTAAAAATACAAACTAGGAAGGCGACAATATACTGTTTTATTTTGATACTTTGCTAGACGTGAGTATATAAATGCTACGACGAAGTTCGAGTATAAAGCGCTCACAATATTACAATAACCATTCACGAACTGTTTCAGTAGTTAACAGGTTTCACGTGGTCTCAAAAGAGTCCATTATCGGTAGGTTATAAAGTACATACGTATTCAACCTTCTGACACCAGTCGTCATTTATCATCTATATAGATAAACAAATGTTACTTAATCTCTAATCCTGACGTACCTTGCATGCAAAATTACGCAGTCTACGCAGAATGTATGAAATTCTATATCAAAAGATATAGGATCTTAATCAGAAACTAAAAGAAAGTAGCAGCGTATCTTGACCACTTGCCTATAACAATGCGATGCTATACTCTGTAAATCCTAAAAATATAAAAAAAGTATACAGAAAAAGTATACAGAGAAAAATGAAGAAATTAAGAAATCTTTGTCAGAATAAGCTTTTCCTCTCTGGGTACCTCTCTATTTTCAACACTTTATGCACTTTCACTTTCACGGTTTTGAGTTTAAGGATCTCATTGGTTTAAAGGTTATACCTTTTTAAAGTTTGATATCTTTGGCGTATTGTATGGCTTACTTTAATCCGATAACCATTTAAACGTCAAATTTTATCATTTACTTGAACGTATACCGTGCTCAAAGTAACGGAATATCGCTTTATTATGAATGTACGAATCGTTTTGTCAAATACACTTTTCCATAAGTGGTCTTAGGCAGCTTGAAAATTATGTACTCTAAACAGTACTACTCGTAAATACTTTTCAGTCTCCACGAATAAATACTGTTCAATATCTAGTTCCGCTCGTAGTATCAACAAAGTTCTTATCAGATAAGTACATAGGTTTCGACTAGAAAATTGGGTTCTTAGAGGCGAAATTCACATCTTCGTAAAAGGTTAAAAGAGAGTAGAAATGTTTTATTTATTTGTCTACGCCAATGTGATGCGAGTCGACCTATACTATATTAAAGTTATGTATACGTGATATCGCAATGTTTACCTCCCGTGTCGGGAATGGAGAGGGAAAGAGAGGTTCGGTTGTCGAGTTAAGCTGTATCGCCAAGCAGTCACCATCGTCATTCGAGCATGTCAGGTTCTTGTGGTTTTGCTGCCGTCGTAAATTCTGTTTTAAAGTTTTGTTTCTAAAGCAACCCGTTGTATCTAAAAAAGTTCGATCTTTAACAAAGTGAACGAAGCAAAATAATAAAAAGATCTATTAAAAATACGTACAGATAAAAAATTGTCGATTATTTCAAGAGAGCCATTCCGCGGGAAACCAGAACGATCCTCCTGCTAAAAATAACGTCCCTTTCGTTCGCGTAACTCTTTTGTCTTCGCCGCACATTGTTAACGTATGCATACATAAGTACATATTTACTTGCACAATTTTTCAAGCATTGCGAGACACACTGCACGATCGTAACTAACGAGCGTGTGCACAAAGTGAATGAAAACGCAGAATGGGAATCATCCAGGAGGCGGTTAAATCTCGAAATGGTATGAAATACGATGTACGACACTACTTTGTTGACTGACCGCTGAGTGGTGTCAGTTATTGAAACAGCGTAAAATGAGCGATATACGTGTGAACCAGTAACACGAACATATTTGCCAAATCGGTTCACTCTACAAAACAAAAAGTAGAGTAAATTATTCGAAAAATGTCGATAAATGGATTCAGTAACTTTGGCTTGTCAATACTTTATATGTAAAAATATGTAAAAAAGTGACGAAATCTTCGTCTATTTTTCATGAAAAAAGTCTGTCTTACATAATAATAAAAAAAAACATCTTGTACAACCAGAATTCTCTTCGACAAAGGTACTTCTAAGAAATAGTGTGGATAACAATGGTTAGTTAAACAAGACAATATAATATAACTAGCAAGTGGAATCACGACTTCGAGCCACGTGCACACGTGACTGCAAACATTTCCGATGACTCAGTGAGCCTGTAAGAATACTAATAATTTGCATTCGAGCAGTTCGTTTGCCGTAGTATTGTCCGAGGAAGATTTTTCGGTTCTATTCTCTATGGCAATTAAGGTTACGAGAGAAAATCTTTAACTTTGGTTAGTTCAATCTGAACACTAATTCCACGCTTCAGATCGTTAGATTGGTCACGCGATCTGTACGGAATCAGTTAACCTGTATTGGCTGGATCGATTTCAGTGAAATGAAGTATTATTTCGAAACGCTACTGTGATTTTGTCTGTGTTCTTAAAGTCTTGGTATTAATACGTTTGTGGAGATTTAATGAAACTGTGCGAGACAATTTAATGGATTTTCTACGATTGCTTTTGTGATTGGCCTTCTTATATTTTAGTTGGTTCCGAAACTAATTATTTTATACTTGAAAGGTTTTATCAAAAGTGGTTTTGATTGTGAGGTGTGAAGATAATTTTTTTTTTGTATAAAAAGTGTTAGTGTTAGAAATATATATATATAGTGAAAAATTATTGTGACGTATCGCAATATTTATATTATGTAAAAGGAAACGAAAGAAGAAGTTTATATTCTGATTCAAATGCGATCTTTCAACGTCGTTAAAAAATGACAGATGCGGGCAGTTTTGCTTCGAGATTTACAAGAAAGACTTGTTAGCATCGTTACCATTGTTATCGCACGAAGATTCGTCGATGTACAAACGTATGGCGTAACAAAGTCGAAGATACATTACTGCAGTTAATTTTAACAATAGGAGGATAACAACGCCATAAGAGCGGAACTAAAATAGTCAACGAAATGTTCATGGACATCGTCGGATAAGATTTTGAAAATTCAAATTCCAATTTACCTTGCATTATTATTCGTTATTGCTATTTTACATTTTATTTTATTTTAATTTTTATTTTAAAAATTCTTTTTATTCCAATCGCAATTTTTAAAATTACACGTACAGAATCTTCGTCAACATTTCTAAATTTACTAAAGAATACTATTTAATTAAAATATTTAAGAAAAATATTTAATTATTAAAGAAATCTTTTTATATTATATTTTTTATATTCATAGTTCAAGATAAAAATTAAAAATACGAAAACATATTTATATATAGAAAAGGTACAAGTTTATAAGAAGAGATTAACAGGATAAAAAATAAATTTTACAATTCTGTCAACTGTAACCAACGATGATCGACGTAACTATCCTATCGACCGTGCAGAAGGAAAGAAATTGTCGGCGTCACGTCAGGTGGTGTCAATTAGGCGCGTATTCGCACGCGAAGACCGGAAAAAAGCGTTTATTGGTCACATAATGTGTATATTCAAAATATTGCAAGGCAAGCGTTCCCACACGAAGCACCTAAAAAACACCATTGCCTAGTATTTTCAGTTCATAACGAATCATCATACTACGTGACAGCTTTACAAAATGAAGAAGAACGTAGAACCCATGAAATCTAAAACAGACTCGAAAGAAACAGCCAACGAAAATAATCAAGATACGCGTCCGGGAGACTCGGCAGAAAGTCAAATATCAGACGCCGAGTCCAAACCGGAAATGTCTGACCAAGAACCAACAGTGGTGGCACCACGGAGCGGAAGTAGCTTTTTAAAGCGCGATAAGGTGAGTGACATCCCTCTAAAACAATTATCGATCGATTCAAAAAATTCTTCTACGAAAACTCCCTTAAAGTTCCTGAAAATAATCTCGAACGAAGAAACTCATGAAAATAAATGGAAAAAATTTTGGGTTCATCATCGAGACAAGTTTCGACACAAGCCCGAGGAAGATTTCACAACGAGGAATCGAACTTTTGAAGAGATGACGGCGGAAGTGGACGCGGTATTCCGAAAGGCGATTCGAAGCATGCGATTCGATAGATCCGATACCGATCGTCGATATTTTAACATTGACGAGAGCTCTCCGGAGAAAAATGCTGGCCAAGACGATCACAAAAACACTGAAAGCATTTCAGAGTTACCGCAAGCCGTCGAAGCGCCACCTCGAAGGTTAAGATTGAGTACCGGCCGTACAAAAGACCGTAAGTTCATGGACGTTTTGGCAGGTGAGCAAGGTACCTTTAAGAAAAAATCCGAGAGAAATGATCCTACTGACATAATTTTTGGCGTGAACGAAGAAAAACAGAAAGAAGATACATTTAAAGCTAATGGTGAAATATCTGACATTAATTTCCTCGTAGGAATCAGTGACGAGGAGAAGTATGTTCGATTGGAGAATAAGATTAGATCGGATCGTTCGACTAGAAGGTGGAGTTCGTTGGAAAATTTAGCGAGAAAGGCGGAAAACGTTGGAGAAGATTCTTCTACAAATAGGATAGAGGGTTTGTCGATCGAAAGACCAGTTCGAAGCAAAGAGAAGAGAACGATCGGATCTTTGAGATCTTCGTTGGGGAGGAAGATGGGCTCTGTGGAGAGGATCTTGGAGGATCAGATAGAGAAAATATGGGAGGAGAAGGTGGAGAAGCATCCGTGGCTGCTGCCTATAGAAAGTTGGATTGTTGAACGTTGCAGGCCCTCTGGAACGTACTCTATCCTTCACGACAGGAAAAATAGCGGTTTGAAGATGGAGGAGGGGAGGTTGAGCGAGAAAGAGCAGAGTTTTGACTTCAAATTTACTGCGCCTGAAAAGAAGGACGAGGAGGGAAGAATAGAGATTAAATTGGAACATTTAAAGAGACCGGAGAGATCGGCATTCGAGACTGCAAATTTGATTTCAAGGTTGAGGAAGTCTTCTTCTGAACAGTCGAAGGTAGAGGAGCAAGAGGTTTTGGACGCGAAGGACGTGAAGCATCATGATCTGTTCGATAAACTCAAGGGCAATGTTAAAGAGAAAATGGAAGATATTCATAGGGTAGACTGGAGTATTTTTTTTTTTTAATTAATTTTACTGGAGAAATTTGTTTATATATATATATATATATATATATATAGTTGACTATTAACAGTTGGGAAAAGATGATACAGGATATATTGATGAACATTTTATTTTTCTAGGGAACCAGTAGTTATGATTATAATTTAATTTGTAGAACACTATGAAAGATTAGTTTTCTTTTTATAGAAGTTGTTAAGAATTGAAATCAGATGATAGAGGATATTCAGAGAATCTGTTGTTTTGTAGATTCCTGATGCAGTTCACAATCAGAACATACATGATTTGTCTTTGAAAAAAAACTTAATTGCGGTAACAAGTTCAAGTTCTATTTTTACTTATGTTATCTAACATCCCGCAATACACTAAATGTACATAAGATGAAGTCAAAACTAAATTCATGTCGAGAGATAGGATTTATCGATGCTAGTGAATGATTCACATTTGTCGACTTGATGACAGAGGTAAAGCTAATGCTGCAGTTACATTTAAAATCACTTAATCTGAGCCCCTATCTCTTTTTCACATCTTATGTTTCAATTACCGTGGTAAGCTCTGTATAGACTTCTCAAAACAATTTGTTCACTATTTTTGAGAAACAAATATTAAAGTTGAACATATAGAATCGTAGATAAACCTTGACTGGTTCCCTGTATATAATATACACATATAGATAGAATCGTGCCCATCGAACAAGCAGTTGAAAAACTAATATCGCGGCTGATATTTTGTTCAACATTTTTTCCGATACACATGTTCTAACCAGAATCTTCTAAAATTATTATTGTCCACAGTGAAACGATATTTTTCTTTTCCCTATTTTGCTTCCTTTTATTTTACTTTATTCTTACTATATTTTCCTCCATCAGATAGAAAATTCAATTTCGCATGGCGTATTTTTATGTCTGCAGTATTTTCAAAGGACCAATCGATTGGCGGACGTAAATAGACGGTTAAAGTCACAGATATGGAGCTCCGTGGTAACGATTGTTCTTGTGGAGGCGAAGAATTTATTACCGATGGATATAGACGGTCTTTCGGATCCCTATGTCAAATTTCGGTATGAATACCCTTATTCTTTTCACCTTTGTCCTCAATACTGTTATTGTATCGAAATTAACTTATTTTTATTGTTGATACTATCCTTGTACTTCGCTTCCTTCACTGTGAAATACTTGTAAGATTAAGAAGTATCGATGTCAACGAAATAAGTTATATAAAGTATCTAATTTATATTTCAGTTGTGCTTCTTGTCACTCGTTGTTTAAATTATGCGGTATGATGCGATATAAATTGTAATCATTGTAAAAGTCTTGCTATCTTAAAAGGAAGATAATTATGTCGCTTAGAAAAACCACACCGTTCAACTCTATCAATTGAAAAATGGAAGGATTTGATAATATAGTAGAATTAGAAATATTACTCTTTTAAGTGTTAAATTGTTCACACGATCCTATGATAAACAATCCTGTAGGAACAAATCATTTATTTTTTGAGAATTCAGAATTTGGATACTAATCATAACAAACTGGAAAATTTAGAATTAGAATTTAGAAACCAAATAATTACTAAATACATTAATTTGATTACCCATCAAGTATTATCCTTACTTATTGGTAAAATTAATATTCAATGGCAATTATCATTATTTTCTTCTGCATATTTCAGTCTCGGAACAGAAAAGTACAAGTCAAAAGTAGTGCACAAGACCCTGAATCCCGTTTGGTTGGAGCAGTTCGATCTCCACCTTTACGAAGATCCTTATTTAGGTCAAGAATTGGAGGTCACGGTGTGGGATCGGGATAAAAGCCATCAGGATGACCTAATGGGAAAAACGGTAATCGATCTGACGACGCTTGAACGTGAGACGACCCATCGACTCTGGCGGGATCTCGAGGACGGCTCTGGCAGCATATTTTTACTGTTAACTATTAGTGGTACCACCGCTAGCGAAACGATCAGCGATTTAGCCGCACACGAAGACACACCTCGTGAACGCGAGCAATTATACCAAAGATATGCTTTGGTGAACTCGTTGCAGAGGGTACGAGACGTTGGTCATTTAACAGTGAAGGTACCTACCTTTAAAAAATGGAGGAGAAGGAGAAAACTTAAGTTTAAAAATAATAGGAAAATGTTTAATTAGAAAATTAAAACATAGGAGAAGAATATAGCTTTTTAGGACTAGTTAAAAAAGGCTTAACTTTTTTTCCAAGCTCATCTTTATAATCTTATTAAATATAATTATCAACTGCACAGAAATGTACAATATGTATTTAAAATTTTTGAAAGTATAAATTTAGGATTCGTATCTCTTGTTTATTACTTTCGATTTGTAGAATTCATAAAATGTATATTTATGATTCGTTCGTTATATAGGTATTCAGAGCACAAGGTCTCGCGGCAGCTGACTTGGGTGGCAAGAGCGATCCTTTTTGCGTCTTGGAATTGGTAAACGCAAGATTGCAAACACAGACGGAATATAAAACGCTGGCTCCAAGTTGGCAGAAAATATTCACTTTGTAAGCCATCGTGACTATATAACGAATTTCGGAAGAGAATGTAAAAAATATAATCTTTTTTATTTGTTTCTCATAGTAACGTGAAAGATATCAATTCGGTGTTAGAGGTGACAGTGTACGACGAGGACAGGGACCATAAAGTAGAGTTTCTCGGCAAAGTCGCCATACCTCTTCTAAGGATAAGGAACGGTGAGAAACGATGGTACGCGTTAAAGGACAAAAAACTGAGGGGTCGTGCCAAAGGAAATTCTCCGCAAATTCTTTTGGAGCTGAACGTGGTGTGGAACGTTGTCAGAGCATGTGTTCGAACGTTAAATCCCAAGGAGAAGAAGTACATGGAACCGGAGATAAAGTTCAAAAGACAAGTGTTTTTACGTAACGTTCTCAGGCTGAAGGCAATCATCGTTATCGTGATTGATATTGGAAAATACGTGCAGTACGTGTACTACTTTGATTCTACTTTCAATCTGTTTTAGAAATAGTCATGACATTTGTTACGTAAATCACATCGTATGTTTCGTTTATAAATTAAATACTGTTTGTCATTCGTCGAAACGATGATTAATAATTACTACGTTTCCTAGAATGCTATATTATTCATTTATTCATTAACTTTTTACATTAACGTAGAGAGATATTTTATATATTAATCTACGTATATGTTATGTTTTAATCCTATTCGAAGATATTATGAAATTATTCAATGAATAATGGCGAAATCTTTTTCTGTGTTTTATTGTATCCTTAGGAGCTGTTGGGAATGGGAAAATAAAATGAGAAGCATCATCGCACTGGTCATCTTTATTTTGGGCTGTTACTACTTTGAACCTTACATGTTTCCTGGAGTAGCACTCCTTATTCTGTTAAAGTATTATCTGGTATGTAAACAAACTAATCAGATCCTTTTACATTTTATCTTGTCAAAGCATTTTTCTAAGTCACTTATCACCATCTCTATAAATTATTGACACTCGTACACTTACCTTATGTATTTGCTAATTCGTTAAACTGGATTGCTAGCCTTTAAGTACCTGCAAAAATCTAACATTCTACCGAATACTATTAAAACTTTTATTTAGTAATATTATCTGCAATATTTAATGCTGTAGATTAGAAAATGTCCCACTGACCAAGGTAATCTTATACATTGACTAAATTTCCTATTCTTGTTACTGCTACTTAGTAGAAATTACTATCTTCCTTCTTGAGCTAAATGAAATTAAAGTTAAAAAGCTATGTGACTAGCATGGATATACAGTTTGGTTGTCCTATGTTTTAAATCTTTACATTTTTAAATACCTTTAGAAAATTAGATATAGTAGTATTCTAGTATTTAGTACAGAATTGTTCAATAATGATATTTCAAGATTTATGCCTGTAAATTTTCAAAATTTTCCATAGAAATGGCTTACATAGTTTAGAGCAATTTTTACCATATTTCTTCCATTTAGTATCTAATATATTGATCACTATTGTTATATCTTCTCAATGCTGGAGCTTGCTTATAAATAATAGACGCCAATAACCAATCAACCTTAAACACATGTAAGATAACACGTATGTAAATCATCTGCTTGACGACCTTTACCTGCATTGCTGCATGTCCACGTCCTTTGCTACCTGCCAGCTTTATGGAGATGGAAGCGGATTCAATCAATGGATTTCCGGACAGGTTGCAGTAATAACCGGTACACCCTTATCGCATCAATCGAGTTCCCACTTCCACGACGAGGGTGACGAAGGTCCTGCCACTCCTGGGGACGACGACGACGACGATGACGATAAGGACAAAGTAAGTATTTTCAGCAATTGTTATTTAAGTTGTTCCCGATATTTAATTTTGTAAAACTTTATATATTCATTGAAAATTAGAAAATAATTACATTTTTAATAGAATTTCATATGATTCTTCTATTTATTTTACAGCCAAAAGGTATTAGAAAAAGAAGTTTGTATAATATTATATAAATTTGAGTCATATGTTTCTGTAGAAAATTGAGAAGCTGGATTACCGTTTGTTTTTAACACTGCTGCATAATAGCAAATTATTGCTCTTATAATGTCACAACTCATTATCAATTGAAATTACATTTCCTGTTTCGTAATACACCAGTTAAACAACTGTCATTTGTTTAATGATTAATGGTATTCTTCTGGAATAATAAAAGTTTATAATAGGTTCTTAGTTGCCAGTAGCTAAAGGCTCCTTTCAATGAATATTACATTTGGACGTATATTACGAACGCGATAGGCAAGTATTTTGGTCTGGCGCTTTCCTCGATTCAACCTTCGACCTATTCAAACGACGAATTGATGTGTGCCAATATTGGTCAAATCGACTTCATCGAGTTAAAGATTGACCTTGATTATACGTCCTAACATACAGAAAACATTTTATTATTATTACTAATTACTATTGGTATTACTATTATGTTAAATAAAATTTTTAATAAAATAATATGACCAAAATTAATTTATTTCTTCAGCATATTTTCTTATTTTTAGTAAATCTTCTTTTATCAGATTTTCTCTAAAATGGATTATTCTGATTCTTCCTTTCAGGAAGAGAAAAAAAGTCTAAAGGAACGCTTGCAAGCAATTCAGGAGGTGACTCAGACTGTTCAGAACTCGATCGGTTACATAGCCAGCCTCTGTGAAAGAGTGAAGAATCTCTTCAATTTCACTGTTCCTTATTTGAGTTATTTAGCCATGATTTTGGCGATTCTCGGTGTTGCTGTCCTGTATTTCATCCCTCTGAGATACCTTATCCTAGTATGGGGCGTCAATAAATTCTCCAGGAAAATTGTCCGGCCTCACTCGGTTCCAAACAACGAGCTCCTAGACCTCATAACTAGAGTGCCCGATGACGAGGAGCTCCTTAATTACAGGTCCGTTTAGAATTACTCTCTAACCTCCGAAGATTTCTATCTTTATTATTTATAAGTAATAATAAAATTTAAACATAAACATTTATTATATTTGTACTATGCTACTGTACTACATCATACATATAATGCTATAACTATTAATTAACAATACATTAAATCAAATTATCTTTTTCAGAGAGTTGAAACCATTACCAACTGCCGACTGTGAGAAGAGCAGTACATCGGGCAGTCCAGGTGCATCGAATTTAACGCGGAGGGAACAGAGGAAAAGGCATAAGGCCGCGTAGCAGCATGCCCCGCGGCCGGAAGTCGCGGGTCTACGATCACCGAGCATCCTGAGGACGGTCCTGCTGCGCCGTAAGATGCGCCAGCGAAAGGGATCAGCGGAGAATCCGGATGTGATCGACATAGACTGAGAAACGTTTTGTTTCCACTCGTAGTTGTCTAGCTAGGGGGGGATTTTCATCATTCTAGTTTTCAGTCTAATCTGGTCACGTTAAGAACACCTCGCGTGGTATATCTTCGAAGTCTGAAATGTTTTATTCTCAGTGAGGGTAGTTTTACATCATATTATGAAGAGAAATAGGAAATAGATAAGATATAGTTAGAGGATGAAAGAGATCAACCACCAGATGGTCGAGTTCACTGTAATAAGAAAGAGAAAAGAACATTGTAATCACAATATTCAGAAGGATATCCGCATTTTTATAGCATAAGATATTCAAAGTTTCAACTGTATTCGGTAATTAAATACGTATATCCGTAATACAAAGTCGCTAGATACGTTTAACGAACACGCTGGAAACATTTGTCAATGTTTACCAGGCGATATTTCTCACGACGAAATCTCCGGGACATACCACGCAAAATTGTTATTAGATACCGTTTCGATTCGATAGTTGGAACGAGTCGACGCAGAAATTCATCGAGAATTTCGTAAAAAGAAGCAAATGATATCTTTTCATTTATATAGTATTTGTAGAATGTGAACGTGCGGCACATTAGTAGTTGTATCGAACAACTCGGCTATAATGGTGTTGGTGAGTCTGTGTGAATGATCGTCGACAAGGAAGTCAAAATGAAAGATGCAATTTCCCAATAACGCTCTCATGAAATTAACGACAGTAAAATATTGAATTTTATTCTGAATATATAATATCTATTTCCTTGAAAATTAAAAAATTCCATAAATTCGAATGAAACGAGTTTAATAAACATGACGTCAAGAAAGGAAACAAGTTGCTATAAATTATCGTTTGACTTTCCTGTGTGAGAAAAAACAAGGAAAACACGGATAGACAAACGTTTTTGAAAGTATATATATCTCGTTTGGACGTTTCAAATGTATCAAGACTCAACGAAGAATGTGCGTTCGATAGCGGTATATTAGCTAACAATATCGACGGAGAAGAGATACCATAGTCACTTAAAGAAGAAAAAACGAGAATTCCCACTAACGGGCTATCCTCGTCGATCCGTTTCGTCCATCGGTGTCGTAGATATAGCTGCTACAGAATCGTTACCAATGACAGAGAAAGAGAGATATTAACAAGTTTAAAAGAAAAAAAGAGGAAAAAATATAAAAAAAAGAAAGGAACAAAAAAAAAAGACAAATATAGTTGTTCTACGGCGGTCTTATTTAGCCGACAAAATTCGCTCGACGAGTTGTTTCTTCCATTTCAAGAACGACGAATAGAATCAGTTATTCAACATTCACACGTCTAAACTTTATTCTATATACTATATTATTGTAAAAGAAGAAAGTAATAACAGTTCGATCGGTATATGTAGCCTGTTCTTATTCGAGTCTTCGTGCTACCTCGTGCTGTAATTATCGCGTTATAGTCTTACGATTGTAATTTTACTATTCAATGATCGCCGAGGAGCTATTCGTCGTTCGTGAAATCAGTTTATTATTTAGTCTTTTACCGTTGAGACCTCTCGAAGTGTCCTAATGTTATTTTCTTTAAATAGTATTTAATATTATCGAATTCTTCGTTCCAACGCACACTGTCACGCGTTCATTCGCCTCCTCGAGCATGAATACAATAAAATTAACGTATGCTATAACGAGCATCTTTGCGTGTGGAAAATTGTAAAAAGTGACAGAGTTTCTCTTTACGGTTGAATGATAGAATTTTATTACAACTGTTCACGTTATAGCCAGGAACATATCGCAGTTTAAATAAAAGGAAAATATTCAATTTCTAATAGAATCGTGCTGGGTAATGGCATTATGCGATTTCTTTGTACAAATCATGGTAATTAACGAAGAAACCGTGGAAAATATTAGTCGTGCGTGAAGATGTTCGGAAGAAACCGGAAAAAAGCATAGAAAGGGGCAGAAAGTTTCTCCGACCAGTTGTATTACTATTTTTATAACAATAATAGTTATCGCTGTCCTCGTGACAATAGTTTGTAGCTCTTGCGATTAAATAACGTTCCAGCCAGACCTCGTAACTTTCTTCATTGTGAATATTACGCTGCGTTCTTTTTATACCGGTTTTTCTCTCATTGTGTAATCATCATCATAATATTGTCTCTGTAAAAAGGAAAAACCACGTTACTTCCGTTATTTATGTTCCATTTCCGGATAGTTACGAGCTCGCGTTGTCGCAAAAGCAATAATAGCCGAATAAAGATATTAATATTACAATTTTAAAAGTTGTACATCAAGTGTTATATGAAAAATATGGTAAAATTATGCGATGACTAGCATGCGACTAGTAAAAGATTCATAAAATAATTATAAACGAAGTTTTGTATTTTCGAGTACGTTTTAAGCAATTTATTATAGAGTAAAATTTGGCTAATTAGCGATCTGTCAAACGAATGTGGGTAAATCCGCCATGGCAAACATGCTTGAGGAGGGAGGCAAAACGCGTTGAATTAATTATTCCTAACCGCGATTTTACGGTTCGTGCCAGCCGATGAGAAAGCTGAAAGGGGAAGAAGAGATATCGCTGATCCATTTTTTCGCTTTTCTAACTCGGAACATCGCGGCATCGCCATTTTTTCCCAAGTCTTTCGTTATCATCTTTCTCGCTGTTTCTTGTATTCGCATGATCGTGAGGTTCATGATGTCAGTAAAACGACAAGTGTTGTAAAAGAAAATTGTATCCTTCGAGTACATTTTCACTCATATTTGACCCTTTGAAGCGTTATAAATATTTTTTATATTTCATTCGAAATTTTTATCTCCTTTTTAATACATTTGTACAATATTTTTATATATTCAATTATACATATTTTATTTTTTGTATATTTATAAGGATACAGAGATACAATTATATTGTTGAATTTATAAATCTGCAATTCTAACCTAACTGTATAAAACAAATTTATTATGGCGGCTAGTTCAGTCTTTTAAAATGCAGTTTGTGTTAAGATGACAATTTCAAATGATCAAAAAAGAAGTTACTAACAGACTGAAATTATTTTAAACAATTAATTCATGTAGACACACAGAATATTTTTTAACATTTAAATTTATGAACCTACATAATTTTAATATCCTATACGCATATTTACATATTTATATTCGAAATATCGAAAGAAATTATAAAAATTACTAGAACTAGAATTAGTTCTTAGGTTATTAAAATTAAATAGAAGATACTAAAATTATCCTAGCTAAATCGTCGTTAAATAACATGATCGGTCAACTGTGAAATTGACGAATCGTAAAGGAATCGTAATTGAAATCATGACTGAAAGTTCCGTTAGCGTAATTCTATCCCCATCTTCCGTATTTTATCTTGGTAGGGAATTAAAGAAACCAGACTATAGCCGGAAGTAGTTCGCGCTTCAAAGGGTTCAAATGTAAGTAATATCGGCCATAAGTATTAGGACAACTCTTGATACTTAGTTAGACGCATTTCACTGCTTTTATTTTTGTTACAAATGTGTTATTTCACTCGCGTTACCTATGTTTTATAAAGTAAAAAACTAAGTGAAATAAAACTTATTTGAATTATTTAATAAAATCTTATGGGTCGACAGAGGAGGTACTACTATTTATCGTTCACTGTCACGCGTTCCTACATTCTTTTGCTTATATATGTGACACTTTCGGGTAATACGCCTGCTTAACTTTACGATTGTGTTGGGTCTGCTAACAACCAATCAGGCTAGTATTTCTTCCACAGGACTTTCTTTGAATTCAGCAGTATAACTAAGTGTCTTAAATATGTACATACCTATGGTCAGCAGTGCATAGTAACGTTTATCGCCGATTTTGGGCCTGAGTCGAGGGACAAAACGTATAATACAGAACACACTGAACACTTACACGTGAACGTGAGATACATACGAAAAACGAGGGAAAATTAGGCGATTCTTTCTATCATGTAGAATCTAATCAACGAACTTTCTTCGTAAGTGAAAAACTTGTGATATTGCAAATCAATTTCATTGTGTTTAGGTCGAGAGATGTAGAGCGTGTGATTTAAAATTTCGTGACTATAGCTAAACAGAAACTTTTCTTTTTTATAGATCTTAGGTTAGCTTCGTTTTATTATAAGACGGACAATCAGAAGTATGAGTTGATTATTGAATTTATTGGTGTTGATTTTCGGGATTTTAAATCACATAGCTGATAAGTTGGTATGTTTTCTATAGTCATTCCATACGACATTCCTTGTATTGAAATTGTGTGGGTACGTGGATTCACTTTTCCATTTATGTTTTCCATGAAATTGTGAGAATATATTCTCTTGGTAAATTTTGTTAAAATGCTTTGTATTTAGGTAAAAGATAAATTTAAGTAACAGATAAACAATGATGTGGATAACAATTCATTGTATTCTTTTTAAAAAGATTATAATGAGTAGTGTGCTCATGCAATTTCATTTTTCACGCATTTGGTAACTTTTAATCTTATTGAAGCGTCGGTTGCTAAATATCAAAAGAATATACAAAGCACTCTTAACAATAGTAAATATAATTACCAACGATAATCGTTGTGACCATAAGCAATAAAATACTCAAAACAGTAAAGGTTAGGAACAATTAATGTTGGACTACAATATTGGACTACATATATTTGTATTGTCTTCATAGTCATATTTATTCGTTCAATTATTAAGTTCCATAACCTAAAATTAATTTACAATTACAACATGCGATTTAAATCATCCAAAAGCTAGATAATTACAAATTAATAATTAAATTACAGTTTCTGAAGATAGTGTGAGTATCGATCGACGCTTCAAGAGAAACTATTCGCGTTCTACACCGTGGTTTTTCTACTCTTCCAATTTTGTACTTCCAAGGTGTATAAGATGTTTCAAAAACATTGCTTTCTCAATTTTAAAAGAGACATTTTCCTCCGTATAAGCATCTCACCGTCAGAGAAGGAAAATAGTTTTCTACGTCTGCTCTTGTAATTTGAGCCATTTCTTTCGGAACACAGTTGTTCAAGCGCAAACAGGGAAACGTAAAAAGATACGAGCGGTCATACATTCACGCGTATATTCATTATTATCTCGTGCACGCACTTTCAAGTTTGCATGCTCCAGTTTCTTCGTGTTATATGAATCTTCATTAAAGTGTCTTAGCCGTTAAGAGGAAAGCAAGGCCGAAATACAGAGAGAGAGAGAGAGAGAGAGAGAAAGAGAGAGAAAGAAAGAGAGGAAGGGCAGGACGAATTTGATTTCCATAAAATCACACGAGGGCGCGTATATTTTTCCCGAATTCTGTCCTCTGGATGAGTGTTTTCTATTCCTAAAACTGCATTTTATTGGTCGTTGAAAAAGTTCGTAGTGCTTTTATTATAAATAGAGTATAGATTTTTATGCATTTATGGAAAATTTGGAAATGCAACAGCAATATATAAAATGTCCAAAGTATAGTATCCTCTACAATATTTAATAGATAAAACAATTTCTTATTCAAATCGCAGTTTCTTAATTATATTCGTAAAAATGTGAATTTGCATAAATATACATAGTCTGATTATGTATTTCTTTCAAATAATAAAACGAATAAATATTATTCGAACAAATATCATTCTTAGTTGGATACTAAAGTGAATTAAAGAGAAATATCGAAAATTCGTTAATGAACTAAATCTTTCTTAACTTTCGCTACAAATTTTCCGATTCTTCAAATACAAATTATACAAATGTAAATATAAATTATAAATTACAAGTTTCTAGATGTTTCAATTCAATTCGATTTTGTTTGCTTTTATCGTAGTTGAACGATGAAATGATAGTGATCCAGATGGCAGATCGATCGACAATGCTCCGCACAGGTCTGTTCGATAGGACAAATGAACATTAAATTTAAGATAATTAGTCGATAATTAATCGAAATTGAAGTCACGTGTGAAGCAAAGAAGGTTCGGACCAAGTCCAGATCGGTTGATCTCGATCGTACAAAAATAAATTAGAAAAACAGACAAAAAAGAGTGAAAACTGGAAGAGACAAGGATAAAGACAAAGCGATAAAATGTATAGATATAATCATTAATATATTATTGTATTAAATTATATATATACAAACATGCATATACATATATGACTGTTATTTAGATCGAATTCTGGAACTTGGTCAGCATTCTCAGTGTTCCCGACAAAAATGTACTTACGACAAAAGGTGATAAGATTCATTATTATATTCATAAAATTAAAAATAAAGAAAGCTTTTAATATCCAATACCATTTTCGTTCATTTTCCAGGAAGATATCTACTGAAAAATACAATTTTCAATTTCTCAAGAATACAATTTTTATATTCAACACTGAAATTTGTATCCTTTACAAAATAAGAGCAAAAAAAGAAAGAGAAAAAGCATGACAACATCAGATAAAACGATTTTTCAATATATTTCCCTTACAAATCACAATCTCTTTTCTTTGATCTTGTAAGTAAATTTCAAAAATACAATAGAACATTTTTTGGAAAGTTATTTTTCAATTACATCTATCATTTCTCTACCGACATGCCATTGAGAGAACTACATTTCTTTTTATGCTAATTTGAGCAATTTTTGGTATATACAAATATGCGATAAGCCGGTTCGTTGAGTCGCCAGTAAAGAACGGCATCTGGAATGGCGAAAGTGAAACTATAACTGAAGTTGTGAGTATAAGACCCATAGGATGCTGACTCACATTTCCATTTTTCGTCCCTCTCTTCGAGAATTCCTTCGGTACAGTATGACGCACTCCGCTAACACAATTTCCTTTGTTACGATCGTCCGAGTATAAAACTAACAGGATTTGACCCAATTTGTTGGTTTTTTGTTAATACAACTGAAAAGAATAAGCAGGCTGTCACTATTAAAAAGGAAAAACTCCTTTAGATTTGTAGAGGAAAATAGCAATATATATATAAATAGATCATTACAGTACTTATTAATTATTTCAGCAGTAATTATTAATGTATTAATTATATTTTCAAAAGAAATGATACTTTATATCTATTACAGTTGTTTTTTTTATTAAAAAGATTATCTTATAGAAATACTTACTTAATTGATTCAAGTGCTTTTATAATTTCTATGCTAAAATATTGAAATATTTATTTTGTAACAAAATAATAAGAATAGTTACTTGTAAGAATATCTCAATTTCTTAATGCCTCTCTTGACATTGAGGAAGCGGCTATTATTTAAGAAACTTTAAAGACACATTTCAAACCAGTTTCTTGATGACCACGAAGGATTCTTCATTCATAGGAAGAAGATCCGTGTTACCTGAGTGTCCTAGACCTTGCGCGAGGGTGAAAGTCGAGGTCGAGATTGACTCGGTGATTTGGATCTCATTGAGGAAGCATCGATCCAGCTGTCTAAGTACAGATATTTCTCCTCGGAAAGTATTAAATGACTAGGATAGGTGGAATTTAATTCCTATGATAAATTAATTTATTTAATGAAATACCATATTCTGCATTAATATGTACATATTTTCTTACTTCTAATTTGAAATAAGAAAATAAAAAAATCTCTAATTTCTGTTATTAATTTAAGTACTTCTTTTTTCTTTCCAATATAAAAGTCTTATAATAAATTGATTTATGTATTGGAACATGATTTTTGTATAAAGATATTTCTTCAATTTATTGAAGAGTATTATTTTAGCTAGAAAACATAGGTTAAGAATATTACATTAAATAAAAGGAGGATAAAGAACATGAAAAACGTACTACAAAAAAATTTTTGCAGTGTCATCATCATCAAAAAAGTCAAAACATATTGTATAGCTGCCAACAACCACTTTTCCTCTAACCAGACACTTTGAAACCAATTCCACCATCCAAAAAATCACATAACAGGTATACATCATAATTTTCATATATCAACTAAATTATATAGTAACTTTTCCACCTATACGTTCAATTTCTAAGTGAATAAAACGATAATAAAGCGAAAAAGACAAATGTCACATTTTGTCACCGTAACAGTATTTTAAACAAGCAGTGGATCATGGATAGAAAGAAACTTTCACGACAGGAAGAGATATTTTGCAACTTGTGAGAACCTGAATTCGCTTTTTTTTTATGCTGTGGGCCTGGTGGCCATGTTCGCCCCGCTGAAATTTTCATATACCAATAGAAAGTTATGAGTACGTCCAGTTTTCACGATTCCACGAGCCGGATTCAACGGATACGTCGTGACAAATCGTTCTCTATCTCTTTCCATCATTCCTCCTGACCTGGTAATCGTGATTTTCTAAATTGTTTGCTCTCCAGTAACACGTCTGTCTCGTCTAGTCGCATTCTTGTAATTCTGTTCCTGCGAGCTGGTCGATTACTTTGATTTTTTGTAACTTCTATAGAGAATATTTGATACCAGAGAATTATTGCAGTATAGTAGAGAGTAAATTGTCAGGAAAAGATTGATAATATTATTATCAATTAATGGACAACAATTTTGGATAAAGATTTTTTTTATAATAGGTAAATATAATATTAAAGTGGAGGAAATTTAATATTAAGTTGAATGTAAGTATGCAACAGTCCTTTTGTTCTTTGATCTTCTTTTTTATGTTTAGTATACCATATCATTTTTGCTATACATATGTACTTCATATTTGTATAGAAAGTGATTTTTGGAGCTTCATCTGCGTGCAAATGTATAATAGTGAATTCATATGGAAACTTCTTTTATTTATTCATAATAATAACTTTATAACTTTAATAACTTTATAAATTGTCAGTTGTAGGAGAAATCAACTTTTTTATCAATTAATGGCCAATGCTAATTCCTAATAATTAACAAACACATTCTGTGTCAGTTTAATTAATAAAATATTAACAGTCTCATAAAAATTCTCATTACACAACCTTATCATGGAATTTTACTTTGCATCAAAGTAAGTCTCAAATTTAATTCATTTCAATTAAGAATTATTATTTAATCCTATTACCACTTTCTCTCTATACAGAAGTTTTCTGTTTCCAATAAATTTTCCTATTTTTTAGGAACATCTGCCCGAAATTTCCGATATCAAGAAAGACACTTTTGATCCTTATACCCTTTTAACCCATTAACCTCAACTTGTAGGCAGCCAAATTGGCGATTACTCAATAAGTGTGTAACTAGCAATAAATCTGAAGCTTTAATATTGGACATTTTTGTATATATTAATATACTGTGAAAAAAAATTAAAATTAATACGGTATCCAAAGAGGTCGTGTGATATTTTGTATGAAATACAAAAATTGTTAAAATAAATATAAAAATTGGGTACTTTGCTATTCGATTGCTCATGCATTGCTAGGATTGAAGAGATTGGAGAGTTCTTATGATTCCCATAACCTCTACAAAGAGAAGTGGGTTTGATTCAACAGAAATGTGAATGTGAAAGTAAGATTCCATTGCACCGATTCTTATTTATCTTTATACATACGTATGGATAAACACACGAGAACAGAACCATAGATATTTTTACACGTTTCAGCGGACGAACTCATTCGAGGACCATTCCACGGAAGTGATTAGAAAACTTTCTCCACTGGCCGTGACCTCGATCCGATTGACGTTTCGGTAACAACGAGCTGGAAGGCCAGATAAGGCGAATTAGTGGCCACCACTAAGTTGCAACAGAGATAGCACATTGGTGATATGAGAAAGTCGTTAGTGTTTAGTTCTGTAGAGTTCCTTTGTACTATTGGATTTTTATAAAGCAGTCTTTTAACGTTCTCTTGATTAGGATTTATGAGTGTGAAATTTCAACGAAGGAAGCTCGTTCCCAGAAATTGATGGAAGGCAAAATGAAAAATAGCATCAAGGTGATAGGTTTCCACGAATAACTTATTTTTCATCTACTCCTCATTAATGTAGCTTATAGTGAATTGTTTCTTTTTGATAAATTGATGTAAAGTGAAATGAAACATAAAATGATGGTATCATTCTTTTGAAAGAGTGATTATAAGGTAATTTTATGTTGTAATTTTCACAGCATTGTTCACGCTATCTAACATCGTTGAAGATTGTAGATCAATTTTATTTCTCATTTTTTACAAATTAGTTAATAGTTGATTAGCTAACGTTAAAAATTCAATCTATACGTTCAATTTGGATCTCAAAATTTGAATTTTTTTAGTGGTAGAAATTAAATGAGATATTTTTCGTTAACAAAAGGAAGACTTGGAATTATAAGGAAGGAAATAAAATAGTAATATCGATAAGAGAATTGTAAAAGAGAAATCAATTGAAATTTGAAAGTTTCCAAAATTTACAATGTTGAACAGTAATATGTTAAATTATAATGCAATGTCATTAAATATTCAACAAGCGCCGATGACATGGTCATCATATGCTTACGAATCTGTCACGGTATAATCAAATATTATTCAATGTCATGGAACGTGACTGACATGCGAATGTTTTATTACATGTGTATTAGGCCATTCAGGGAACGATGAATTATGTTTTGAATGCACCGTAACAGTCTCGTGTGTAGAACTTTAATGCAATTTCTATTTATGCTCAACAAAATATTATTTGATACCTGATTCAAGTAATCACAGGATCGTTTATTTTATGGTATTTTATTTTATCAAGATTAATGTTTTGATAGATTTAATTTCTTATTTGTATTTCAAATTTAGTTTTTAATTAAACGCTACGTTTTAATTTTATATTTATACGTAAAAATATTTTTTATTCTGAATAGAGTTAAACTATTCAAGTAATTTTGAACAATAGTAACATTGTAACATTAAATACTATATTTATAAATAACGCTATCTCTCATAATTTACAACATAGTGTTATAAAGATACTAAAAGAATGTAAAAGAATTGTGCAATTGGCAATGCAATTTTACTCCTAGATATAAGTCTAATCTCGTAACTATCTGTATCGTGAAATGTCGACTTATACGGGTCAAGATCTTTCCCATGAGAAATTTTTATCTATTATTAAGTGTAACCTATCCCAGTATTTGTGTATTTAAGTAAGCAAACACGCCTAACTACAAAAATCATTTTTTCAAATCTTTCTCATTCATATATTTTTAAATACAATTTTCATTTATATATAATAACATTTTTATTAGCTCTTTTTATTATTATCAATGATATATTTATTACTAAACAAATTTTTCATAGATTTTTTATGAATTTTTAGTTAAATCAAAGTTAATCTTTTGATAAAGAAAGACAATATCCTCTTTTGATTGGGTTGTCCGTTTGCAAAAATCATCCTAGATATTGGAAACTCATCGCAAACAAAAGTTTAATGAAAACCATGAATCAGCCTGCGACAGAAATCATAAAAGCTCGATCAGATGCTCGAGATTCTTCGCGAAGAACGAACTTTCCGCAAACAGGATAACCCTATGTAATGGAATGGTAATTGGACAAGAATCCGTTCAGTTTTCTTCTGCCTACAGCTTCGTCAAGACCGAGAATAAATTATACGTTAATCGTGTTTAAAAAGAACATTCGTAAAAACGAGTTTCTATACTAACAAATTGCCTAACAATGCTCACCATTACTTGGATTTCTTTTCTTTGTTGAAGAAAAATTACAACAATTAGGTTAAGTAGTCGTCTTAGAATATTTAGATTAGAAGGCTATTTAGAGATCTAACAAATTCTCTTATCTTCCATACTTCCCCCTTAAGAAAATATATGTGACCTTAATCTATATCTTTTATATTCCAAAGGATTATATTTTCATCCAATAATCTTATAAATATATTGCATAGATGTGAAGAGTTGTAAATAACAATTAGGAACGGCAATAAAAGAATTGAAAAATAACTAAAATATCTGTACTGCTACTATAACAAAATAATAATAGGAATACAAACTATTAAAAAAGGTCAAACGGTAGTAAAATCTCACAGTTCTTCGTTAGTCCATACTATTGTTCTCCATTTCCGTAATTGTTATTTGCCCGTATATTTCAATTACACGCGCAACGAGCGCGTGACGCAATACGAATTAAAATTCCAAGCCGAAGGTTTCACGTTATGTGATCCACTTTTCGATGAACATCAGACGAATTTCGTTACGCAAGCAAATTTTGTTGAGAAAGGGTGTAACAGTCGAATCGATTCCATACAAGGAAGTTAGAGTTTAGCATTGTTACGCGACTGACCTTTATCGTAGCTGAAATTCCGTCTGAGTTTCTCACGGGGTGTGTATTTTGTATTTTGAACGCTAGAGCGTGTGTTTGTGTTGTAACGCTAGAACTGCCAACCTATAATGTGTACCTAAATATGTTATACATAGTTAATTAATATTAAAGCAATATGTTGATAACATATAAGTATATATAATCAAGTTCCTGTACCAATAACAGTAAACTTTAATATTATCAAAAATTTTGCTAGTTATAATATTAATCTACGTACATATGAAGAAAAAACGTTTCTTTATAGATAAATATGTGAGATATAATAAACTAGTACATATGTTATGTATATTAGTATTATAGTATGTAGTATTTATCCTCAAAGCTTAGTTATTCAATAAAAGTAGATTTGTATACTCTAGTCATCAGAAAAGAAATTATTGTGTTGTATGACCTAACCTACATTTTATTGTAGCTTGACTGAAATTTCCAAAAAGTTTTCTGTTGCTCGAGTAGGATAATCTGCCGATAAAATATGATACGAAGAAATCTGATTATGGCTACGTTGTGTTTATTAATAATTGTATGGATTTTACTTATATTCTATCACATATTTGATTATTGCGTGCAAACTGCACTACTGTAATTATGCAAGATACTTTGTTTTAAGGAACGGATTGTATATATAGAAGTTTCTTATGTATGAATAATGAAGATGGATTAAATATTTGTTACTATGTCGTTATATGGAACAACTCCATAATTCGTGTCGAGGTAACAAATACTTTATACCTTAAATATTAAAGATTCATGATGCTTTTGAGGTATTTGAAACTGTTTCGTAACACATATCTAGATAAAGTAGCTAAATTATTTGAGGTACTCAAGGTTACTAAATATATACTGTATGTTAGTCACTAATAGTTGAAGTATCTAAAATATGCAAGTGTTATATCCAAATATCTCATGCATCTAAATAATCAAGATACAGTCGCGCACAAAACTAAATGGACAGATGGTGAAAATAGATATCAACGAAGTTACGTTAAATTCAGCTTGTTTACGTAAATATTAATTTCAGTTATTGATTAAATAATCTATGTACTATAAGGATATATGATAAATAGAACTTAACTATGCAACACTAGCAGTAGCCCGATTAAACCTCTTTAATACCTAAGTACTTCCACTATTTGTTCACTTATTTTATCATATCTCATATCGTATCTCATAGAATACCTATGATATTTTCAATAGAAGTTTCTATTTTCACATTAGAAAATATTTATTAAAACACATAACACTTTCAGGCTGATGTACAGTTCTTCATTACTACATAAACTCAGTTCGTCACCTATTCGTAAACTCAATCATTGGTCATACTAGAAGGATCGCGACGCGGCGCTACGAAGGATGCTTATCGAGCTCGAGGAAGGTTTACCCTGACTGTCCCTGACCCACTTCCGGTCAAGTTCATTGCTCATCCACGGCGCGGCGCGTTGACCTCACCTTGTACGCGTGCCGATCTTCTCTCTTCCTGATTCTTTCCCCTGCTCTTTGCTTACCTGTCTCTATTCAATTTGTACGCCTACGAATCTCCAGAACCAACATACGACGATGGTGGTAACTAATTCATTCTGTTCAGTGTATCCGAATCGTGAAAATGGCAGAGTAAAAAGGAACCTCATCCTTTTTTTAATAATTTAACACACAAATAAATATACGCCTACAAAGACAAAATTTAAGATGTTCGAAAAATTGAAAAATCCAGAAGATATGTAAATATGGATCCTGGTCATGCTCCTTTTTTGTGCTTATGGTCGTGTTTCAATGCGGTGAAAGTTTTTTGCGGCTTCGAGAACTGCACAGGTTACGTAAAATACTTTTTAAGGCTGAACAATTTGTGTGAATTTTATATACCTATTCGCAGAGATATTTTGTTGTCCTGCGATGTCGTTTTTTGGTTAATAAGTATTTTATTAGATAATAAATGAGTTAAGGGAAGAAGTTCCGATGCTAGTTTTTTATTTTCAGGTTAACAGAGATTCTAAAATATGATAGATCTTGTTCTTCCTAACCAATCATATAAGTTAAAGGCAACACGAAAATTTTTAATGGTGCATTGTAATTGGGAAGCATCAGTTTTAGAAAGTATCTTTCACTATGACTCATTCTGCTTTTTCCATTTTTATTCTTCAGAGAATTGAACCATATCAACTACACATTTTTATAGAAAACAACAAATCACTGAGGTAATAAAAAACGATAATGTATAGAAACTCAATCTTTAAAGTCAAATAAAGCAAATGGAAATATTTTATTACAGCAATTAGTATCTGGAACAAGGTAATTACAATCTCATCCTTTACGATTTACCGATTCATTGATCGAGGTCAAACATAACATCATATTATAATGCTATGTAATGATCGCATATTAATATAATATTAATTTTTTGATCCAAATGTAACTTATTTCAAAATATTTTCCATATCTTTGAAATTAGGCTTTAGTAATGGTTATGTAAAAAATTATCCGTGACCTTGACAGTGTATCTCAAGATCATTAACCTCAGAGAGTTAAGTCGTTTCGTAAATAATTATCAAGCAATTAAGTTATACATTTTTTTCTAAAGAGTAGTATTTTATCCAGAGAAGCAAGACAGATTTACCTGACCTTTTTTTACCAAGATGGCGTTGTAACACGCGTTAAAAATGCACCATGAAAGCTAATTAACGTAATTGCCGCTTCCGTTCGTGGTAAGGCGATGAATGCGTGTAACGCGCTTCACTTAAGGTACATAGTTGTCAATTCAAACTTTAATCGTTTAAAACGAGTTGATACACGAAGATAATATTCATTCGAGACAATCAAGTGCAATCAGCGCAGTTCAACGGTAGAGTTCGTCGACGTTAGTGTAATCACGAAAACAATAATGAAGTAGTCTGTAATTTTAGTTGAAGAGGTTAACATTCTTGCATGCCATAACTTTTCCAGCTATACTTCGTTATTACCTAAATTAAACAATTCTCGTCGTCTCTCTCTTCGTTATATAGCTTTTAGTGCAGTTTAATTGGAATGTGGCACAGTAGCGTGCAATTTTTGAACGTAGAGTAATATCAAATGCTATCTGTGTACATGTATACAATATTTCTAAGTTTTATTACATAATATATTTTTTAAATATAATTTCTTAAAAATATTTTTGACAAAACTTGTTACACAATTTCTTACTATTTTCACATTTTATGATTTTATGATTTGTTTTTGAATTTAGAAATGGAACTCTAGGAATTCAGTTGGGAAAAGTAGAATAGGTTTGCTTGTGGTCACATGGTCGGACATCAAGTTCTCTGCTTATAAATTATTCTCTACGAGGAAACCTAGAAATTTCTTAAATTTACATTTCAAACTTTTTGAATTTGTAGCCTAATTTTAAAAGAATTTCAACTTAAACTTTTTGTAATTAGTAACTTGACTTTTCAAAATCTTTCTTTCTCAAAATCAACCACTTAAAAAATTCAAATTTAATGATCAAAGAATTTAATTAACTATTAAATTGGACGACGCAAAAATTACTGGAACTATTCTACGGTATTACAGTACGGAAAATTTAATGATACATACAACTATTAATTAAGAACATAAACAGGTCGTTTCATTTTTTTATAACAACTTTTTCCAGCGGTAGATACCCGTAATTTTATTGTTTCCTTAAGGTAGTCGCAAATTGTATTTTTTTTCTTTTTGGGGGCTTCCAACCAAGGTTGTTAGTAATATAGAAAATGGAAGTTCTGTGAAAAGCATCAAACACCATTTGTAAAATATTGTCATCACTCTTAAAAGATCATGTTGCGTTACGTGTTTGCAGAAACGAGTCTCTATGGTGCAATCGTAATTGAATGAACAATGATGGAATACTTGAAATGTTTGAGAGAATATGAATGGATGAAAAGATGATGGATATTGTCGTGGGAATGTCTGCAGAAAATGAAACATGGAAATGTCCTTTCCTTTTGAAGATTATGTATTGACAGTTATACTTCTTAAGTAAAATGTAAAACAAAATTGCAATTTCGCACTTAATCTTATATTTTATCAATAATATGATGTCACATCTATCGTCCAGACAAACTTAAGAAACAACCTAAACTGTGTGGCCAGGGAAAGGAGTTCCTAGGACATTGGAAATAAGGTTGATATGAAGGTGGATTATTAAAGTAATTACAGAGAAAGAGCAGTAGGGGGCTGGGCACAGTGGAGTGGAGGAATTTGTCTCGCTTTCACCTACGACGATCCCCAAAGTGGAGGCAATGTTGTCACAGATAGAAAAATCCATTGTCTTCGCAATCAATTAGATTCATGATGGTAATCCATCGTTTCTAGGACTTCGTGTATCCTCCAGATGTAACGCAATACGGGCGAAGAATGGGATAGGAATAGAAAAGGCCAAGCTTGACGTCCGATTGTAATTTTGTGTAATTCCATGGAAGCTTTCTAGTACCAGGAGGAAGAAAGGCGGTTAGTTTGATGGGCTGGTTGCCTCAGGTTGTTTCCGTGTGCCATCGCGGAAACACGTTCACCAAAATTAGCTTGCACGATACGACTTCCTTTTTTCCTTTTAATCCTAGCTTTTCGCTTTCGGTTTCGCTAGAAGCTTGTTGGAGATAATGAAGAAAAATGATATAGACTTTCAGGTTATTTTTGTTGATTACAAAGTTCATTAATTAGGAGTTTTATTGACAGCCCCTCTCGCTGGGAAAAGAGTAAAACTGGTTGATAAAGGACATGAGATATGGTTGTCTTTTTTTATTTAGAATTTGTGGAAATGTATTAAAAAGTAAAATTAAGTTCGATGTAGCAAAACTTAGGAGAGATTAAATTGTATAATGATAGAAAGAGATAACTAGAGTCGTTGGTTAGAAACATCAGCAATTTCATAAGAGCAAGATCTGTTAACAGCGTTTAGTGAATTGTTTTATATGTAAGAAAAAGAAATCGATTCCCTATAATATAGATATGATATACGTAGAAAGTCAAAAGGAAGGGAACGAGTACAATGAACACAGTAAAAGAAAACAAAGTTGACAGAGAAATTGAGAGATATAGCAATGAAACTAAAAATACTAAAAAGTATAAAAGATATCGGGAGAAAAAATATAAATAAAAATAAAAAGGAAAAGAAATTTGATAAAAATAATCTAAAAATCAATAAAATGGAAACAAAGGATGGACGAAGAAGACAAAATAAAGATAAAGAATGAAATCCAAACTGACGAAGGGAAGCTTTATCATTGTTAGGTTAATCTCGCAAGGATACCTGGTAATCCATTCTAATCAGCAAACTACATTCGATCGATTATCCGTAACAATGTAAACGAACGAGAGTGAAAGTAAGAGAAATTTACGATTCCTTTTATCACCCTCAGGTGAATCGATGCTCCCTGGTCGGAATATTATTCATCCGTGAGATAAGAATCGTATACTTTCTAAGCTGAGACCTTCCCTCGGTACTTTGAAATATTAAAACGTTTTGCAAACGTATCGTTCGATGTTGAGAGTAATTGAGGCTCGTAAGTGACCCGTTACTTTCTAAATTCTTGTGCGTTTGACTAATATCAGTTCGTCACGTAGTACATATGTTTTGCCAGACACGACGTTTAACAATGGAATCTAATCTTCTTTATTGTCACTTAATTGTTACGATATTACGTTGTTTGAGTGTGTAAAGAGTTTGAGATCGAGTAGCTCTATCTTTTTCCTGGGGGCGATGTTTATTTGCTTTTCTATAGAATCTTCTTTGTTATATGTTGATTTATATATTGATTATTATGGTATTACCATAATATCCCATATATACCATAATAATAATTATTATGTATCAATGTTATGTTTGTATAGTATTTTGACAACTTTAATGATCAATTACTAGGTGGAAGTTTTTGTCTAGAAATAAATTTTTTAAATAAATAAATAAAGCAGTAATCTATGTCTTATAAATTGGTAAACACTTGTAACTACGTACCTTGATCTCCATTACAGATAAACAAAGAATAACTATAGCTTTCTCTTCATTGATATTTTACAATTTGCTATAACATGTAGTACCATGGTAGTAACCTACAAATAAACAAAATGAGAAGGAAAGCAAACATTCTATGGAAGATGAAAATCTTAAAATAACGTGAACTTTGCTGAATACAAATGAGAGGACAGACAGATCTTGGGTATCTAGGCCTGCCAGACTACCGCACCGCGCTGGTATCTTTTCCCTTTCACCGGTACCACGCAGAAAAATCCGATTAGGTACGTGTACTTGCTGTATCTCGTATATACATACGTAAGTACTTGTGTTTCAATGTCTGTACATGTAAACCAAATGATTTCCTACGCATGAATATGCCATCAAAAACCTTAGGAACTCTCAGCTATTTGTATAATTATTTCTTCATTTATTTAAGATTATAGAAATTATTTGTATATATAGAGAATTATTAAAATAAAGAAAAAGATTGATTTTCAAATCAATAGTAAGGACATAAATGCAATAAAATGGGAATGAGTTTATACCAAACGGCTATAAAGACTAGATACAGTCAAGATTATGTGTTTCCGTACATTGCCAAGAAACGAATTGGCGTCACATCTATAGACGTCATTGTCGTTTCTTCCTGTTCTGTCCCACATCACGGACCAAGGTAGCTATCGATGCCTTGTTTCAAAACTCTCGTAAATCCCCCATTTTATTGATCTCCTTAATAAAGAAGTATGTAAATTGGCCTGCTATAACCATATTATAGATCGATATTTTATGCTAACATAAGCCGATCTTATTTGTAAATTGCCATAAATTTAAAGAATTTTTTAAGTATCCTACTTTTATAATATAAAGGCAATTTGTAAGATAAATCAATTGTTACTTTTATGATCTTAAATTCTCCAAAATCAATAAATTTTCAATCACTCAAATTTCTAAAGTTTCATTGACATCCAGTTTTTCTATGATAAAAAAGAAAAATATCATGTAGTAAAAATTAAAAAATCAGCTATTAATTTCACAGAATTACTAGTTCTCCGAAATTTCCTAGATACCTAGCTTTATGTAATAAACAAAATTATCTCGTAATAAAGGATTACAAAATCAAGTGTTATCTCTACAGAATCGATTACAGGTTTGATCGTTTCTTCCTGGTGATTGGATGTACACGGTCCTGGCCATTCATCTTGCGAAAGACAAGTAACCAAAGCAGCGTACAATGAGGAGGGGATCTGAAGAGGTCGGGGAGAATCCTCGAATTCAATGCCCGGATACACGGCGAGCTGATGATTACACAGCACCCATAACCATTCTACTTGTACCCATGTACTTGAGCGGTTCGACCAGTAGAAAACACCTGCCCTCTCTATTGAATAACTCCAGATAACATGTCATTCTCTGCATTGTCTCGTACATTTTGTAATCTGTAACGTGCGTTACATAGGTTGGTAACACTGCAATAAGACTGCAATTAGTAATTAATCTCGAATATTTTAATAAGAGGGAATTTTCAAGGGTAGATTATCAATTTCAATTTGATGAGAATTATATTTGATGTATAAGATAATGCAAAAGTAACGCAGTTCTTATCACGATTTTTCCTTTTTATAAGTATATAATTTTTAATATATTTTCTTTTATTCAAAAGAGACTATTGAAAGTAACAAGAGAAAAATTGTGATAAAATTTTATGGGCATCATGAAACATATTTGGAACTTCTGCGTCATTCTGTAGTTCTAAAAGGATATTTATTACCTCTTTTTTATATCTGACAAAACTTTTCGAGGATATACGATAGAAATAATCCTGGAAGTTAGCTGGAGTTAATTTTTTTAGTATTGGAATTATAATGATTGGCTTACCATAAATTTTAACTTGATATGTTTAAGATGACGCTTGTTTGATGGAGAAGGTTAGGAATGTAATTTTCTATAGAAGTAGGAGTGAGAGGATGAATTTCAAGGACGTTCGCTGAGCAGCAATTCTAGTTATTCGATTTTACATCAATCTCACTGGTAGTTACTATAGAAGCATTATTCGTCAATACATTCACTTTCTATTCTCTAACTCCATATAGTCAACAATCGTCTCACAAAATTTACATTCAGATCTACAAATCTACATTCCGTGATAATTTAATTAATATGTCAGTTCTCTTAACTTTTGAATCTTATCATTGTAATACATTCTAATATCTGATTGTTCTATTAAAAGTTCAATCAAATTGAAGAAAATCGTCCTAAGCGGAAAAATAAAGAAAAATTCAATCGCCATTCAATCGATAATCAATACTTTACAACTTTCGAGCACAAAATCTTTCTCTGTGTTACTTTCTAAAATTGGAATAGGACTTTTTTCCCTCTGTGAAGAATGAGTCTTTCATGTATTTAAATCTAACCTCTTAAAAAACACAAAAAAGTTAAGATATTTTATTTCTTTTTATATGATAAAGAGAATATGTATACAGTAATTAGATTACTTTGCTTGAATACTCTGAGCTAAGTACACAGGACACCAGAAGAACGTATACATATTTCAACAAAAGGCAAACGTTTATATCAATAAACTTTGAAAAAATCCATAGATAAAATTTATTAAACATTTACTATACGTTTCTCTATTCGTATCATATCAATTTCAATTTAATAATTGAACAACCAACATCAAATCTAATCCCTTGATATGATAAGAATAAAAGGATACATACATACATATGTATATATATGTAATATGAATTATTATAACAGAGTAACCTATTTAGACTATATACGCTTTCTTTATCATATAATTTACTAACTAATCAACATCAGATCTAATCACCCGCATTCTCGTTATCTTAACCTCTCCAAATCATATTCCATATTCATCCATGCAATATATGCCATACTCTAATTTCTATAATTCCAACTGCCATCATCTTTCTTCCATCAGCAATCATGTACTGTACTATTACCATTATGTATCATTTATGCCAATAGTGGAATCCGTAAACGCTAGTTTTCTGGCAAAACGGGAAAAGTCATACACTTAATAATGATATTCTACTAACTATAATAATGCGGTAGTTGTAGTAGACGATGTTATACCGTTATATAACGCTTCTATTAATATCTTTTCATTAAGTTCTACTCAAAGAATTGCGAGCTGTTATTAGGACATACCTATGTCTTCGATAAAAGCTATCTGCCGTACGACAGTTTTTCTTCCTGGCTGGAGAATCATAACGCATGGAAGCACCATGAGCCGGCCAAGTGACTGACCCATGATTCCTATCATGAGATTGCATAAGATCGCGCCACCATATACATACTATAAGCACGCCGCCTCTCACTTCTCTCGATCCTGTTTCGTTCAAGCTGACGTGAATATTTCGCGTTTGGAAAAGGCGCTTGAAATTTGCTCGCAACCTAGTGAAATTTGGGAGGTTAGGAATAAGTAACATTTAGTAGTTAGCTTTAATATAAATTTTGGTTAGTATAGTGTATAGAGGATGATTACAAGTGGAAACGGAATTTCAAGTAATTTATATTGCTAAAGTTATAATAAATCTAAATCTAATTTTAGAATGATGATTTTAGAATTTGATTAGAATTGTATTACTTTTCTATATTAGGAATGTATTAGAACAGTTTCCTAGGAAGCATTTTTTTATAGCAAAACACTTTTATATGGTACTTTTATATGTTATTATGGTTTCTCTATAAAGAAATAAAACTTGTATTGGTACTTTAGTTGTCAACTCAATATATTAGAGGAATTATACTAATGTATTAATAGCTTCGTAATACTTTTTCATTTTCAGGAAACCATGTAGGAAGTTGAAAAAAATATTCTTCTATATTTGGGATCTTTTAGTATGAATGATTAGTATGCAAAAACGTAAGAAAGGTTAAGTCTATGTAGAAAGTAGGTAACCAAAATAGTTTCTGTAATATCTGTACGGCAAATATGGAAGAAAATGTGTAAGATTAGAAAACAATTAGGATTTTATTGCAGTTCGAACGATGTTTTCGCGCATAATTAGACATTAATAAAATGTTGTTTGTAAAGTTTACATTAAAGATGCTTAACTAGCAATGAGTCTACGCACCGGTATATACAGGCAATTTTCTTTTCTGCTCTAGAAGTTCGAAGAACAGTTTTACGTTTAGAACGATCCGATAAACCGGTCGTTGCTAAATTTTCCTGATTGGTATTTAACCACGTTGAATTATTACTAGGATCGTATGAGTGCTTCTCTCTGTAGTTTAAAGTTTAATAGCTTTCCCTGTAATTAAACGACCATGTTAACCACATTTTCAACACTTTTTTGTCATTTATTTTCAGAGCTTTATATTATTAATACATATATATGTATTTTATAACAGAGCGTAAGTACTGCTACATATATACAATGTAAATACTATAATAAATACTTTTTATAGCCACTGTAAGTAGAAGATTGTTTTAGCTACTAAATAATATAACGAGTTATACGTGTACTGTATTGTATTATTACTATAAATATTTTACAAAATATGAATATGAAATGAAAAGATCCAGAAATAGCCATTCGTATATGTATTTATAAATATAACTATGTTAGTAACAGCCATAATACTGTTAATTAACAACATTTAGCAACATGTACATATATACTTTCACTAATGTTTCGTTTTTGCTTTCGAATGTATAGAGGATTCGCCAAACCAGCAGCCACTATGAGTTTCGATTAAATCTTCCTGATCGACGAGCACATCAATTGATATCGATTATAGCTAAGTATTTATAGTTCGATAGTGTTTCGTGACCCATTAGATCGCAACGTGTAATCGATACATCGCGTTGCTTGCGTCGAATTCGTGCACAAATCGAGTTCGGCGAGCAGAATGGCTGACTTGCTTTCTGTCTGCAAATAATCTGCAAAACGATTGCGCAAAGACGAACCACTATAGAAGCCTTCCAGCGCTCTTCTCGAAGATATATTGAAGGACTTAACTTCTTTAAAGAGGTTTTCTTTAGTTCTCTGCTTTCCTCTTTTAGGAAATGATAGATAGCATATTTTTAAGATTTAGGTACAGTACAAAGGTTTGTACGCTATTGTTAAAAGCCTTGGTTGGTATAAAATGAAATAATATTATATAAATTTTAAATGATGAAATCATTTCTTTTTTTACAATGGTTTAATATTTGTTTGGTTTTTTAGAGTATAATTATGAAGAAGATTAAATAATAAATGTAACATATATTTCTACCAATTTTTCATTCTTCTTTAAAGCTGAGTTTATTATATTAATCATGTGGCAAGTTAGTAATAAAGTTCATAAAATCTTACCAATAGTAAATTTTGGTCATATCTGGTAGTAAACAGTTTCATAATACTTGAATTAAAGGTTACCAAGAAACTAACAAGATCTATAAAATTTCACAAAAACAAATCATCAACTGTTCACCAAAAATGCATCATTTGCAGATTTAAAATAAAGGTACTCCAAAGTTCAAATGATTAACTTTTATTTATTGAACACTACATCCTTTAAAGAAACTTTAACAGATTGCTCTCCACTATCCACAGATCTAAGACAAGGTTCTTCAGTATTCTATACTTTATACCATCAATCTTAATTTATCACACACTATAACCTCCTTAATATCTAAACAAAGAAATATTAATAACTTATATTCCAGAGATGCAAAACAAAAGAAATTCTACTACTCCACATAATCATCCAACCTGAATTCATCATACTCCATACTTTTTACATAAACTAATCTAAAATGGATATAATGGAAGTTATAGAATAAAAAGGTATGTAGAATAATCAGTTGATCTAACCGTATCCAGGGCTGTATGCATTCCTCGCGCGTGATGAGACCCTTACGTCAATGTTTGTAATCAATTTTTATCATTAGTTGTTTAATAGCGTAACAACAAGTTATAGACATCTGCTGTATGAAGAAACAAATTTTTTAGATGTATTGCAAAAATATCCAATTGATCACCCATTGATCTCGAAACAGAGAAGACTTCGAGTGCTCTCACCAATGGTTCGTTGAATTTCTCTAACAAAAATGCGTCGCTTTCAGAGCAGTAATGGAACGAGAGAAGGATGTGTGGCGGACAGCTCTGTATCGCTCGGTGGAAAGAGATACCTGGAATTGTCTCGGTTATACCGGTTCGTGGGGCCAATCGAATGAGAGGCTTTCTCCTGGATCACTCGTTTGCACCGAGTCTTCTCGTCCCCTGGAGGGGATATTTATATAGGCTGTCCATTCCGGGTGAGCCCCTTCAAACTGTCCGCGATCTTAAGCCTGTACACGAGAGTTTAACAATTTTAAGAAACTTATATTAATATTCGGTGTGTAAACGCAGTTCGAATCTTCGGTGAACGCCCTTTTGGAAAAAAGAAAAATTATTAGAATTGAGGAAGAGGAAAGAGAAGAAGAGAGTGGTGAAGAGAAGAAGGGGTACGAGGGACATGGCTCGATCGTGGTGCGTTGTGAGAGAGTGCAACCGAGACGAACAGTAACGAGCGAAACGTAGTCGAGTTTAGCGCGAGCTTATCGTTCCGAGGCGGAAGTCCTCGAGTCTGCATTTGTGTCTTGGTCGTTCGCTGGGACTACGATCACCCTGCACCATGGTGAGTAATTATTACGATTAGGGTAATGTTGTGTTCAAGAATTGAAGAAATTTTTAATGCATTCTTTTCATTTTTTTCTCTTACACTTCTTGTTTATTCTTTACTTCTTCTTGGTCCTTTTTTTGTTTGTTTTGGAACTAAGTTTGAAATGGAATGGATTGAAGTTAAGAAGAAGGGATACTTATGAATTTTAATACAATCTTTTTATAAGTCTCTTATATGGTTTTTTGTACAGATTTATACAATTTCTTAAAAAAATTTTCTTTGATATTGTACACTATTGAGATAGGCATATAAGGCTACATTTTTTGTCTAATTTAATGATTAACTAAATTTGTCTTTTTTTAATTTAGATAAGTTAGTATGATTATGTATACCGTTTAACATTAATTGATTTAGCTTGTCTATATTCGCCAAATTTAATCTATGAAATATATATCAGGTTTCGATGAATACGTAACTTGAGTCAGGAAACTGAAATTAATTTTCATTTCCTTTTTTAACTTAGAATCGATTTATTTTCTTTCTTTTTTAAATTGTCAGGATTCAGAGGTCTAATTTCGATTGACGTACGAAGAGATAAGCTGAAGGACAAGTTTGCATTGTATACATAAATATTTAGCAATTTCCCGGATATTGCCTGTCGATTCCGGTTGTAGGTATACTTTCTATTGCAAAAGGTATTAGTAGATCGTGCATTGGCTTACGCATATGCGTGTATAGAATAAAAGAACTAAATAGTGGAAAGTCGCATTCCTCTTTATTGCTAATCCACCTACACTAATATGAAATGTAGGCGAATTATCATCAATTAGTGACGCTTCAAAATCAATTTACTTTCTCATTTATGCTTACTAGTATAACAGTTTAAACATACAATCTACTTAACTTCATTTTGGTGACATTTACTCATCTTCAATAAATAATTAAATTATAATCTAAAAAAAATTGTCAGACATACAAATTTTCTCTAGTGTTCTTCTGATACTTTAAAGATCCACTAATTATGAAATACGTAGCGTATCAAATACTTGGAATAGGTAAAAAAAATTGCGTAAAAGATTCAAATGGAAGAAGCAAGTCACAGTTTTCCCTAAAAGGGAACAGATGTTTTCCATGATTGAAAGAAAAAACAAGTTTTCCTTGAAATCCGAATGAAGAAAAAGAGCGAAATACGGGATCGAGTAGTAGGCAAAATCAAAGCTGGTGCTATGCTATTCGCCGCGCCGGCGGGAAGGAAATGGGGGTCAGTGTGTGAACAGCTTCGCTCCTTATGTCGCAATTCAGGAGGTCGCCGACCGTCTTCCTCCTTCGATCGTGCTGCTATGCTTCTTTCTCTTTTTTCCTCTCTTTCTTTTCTGTTTTACTCTGTTAGAAAATTGGATCGTTGCCAAAGTTTCTATCCCTTCTCTGATGGGCATTTTCTTCAGCAGAAAGAGAAATTCTTTTGTAAGAGAGATCATATTGATTTGATTTCACTGATATCAATTGAAAATATATAATATTTTTATTGCAATTATATATTTGAACATATTTTGTATTGTCTGTTTAAAATTGGTATCGATGGTAATAAAATTAACATTGGTATTTCAAACTGATAAAAATCTTTTAAGTACTAGCTTGAACAGCTAGATAGATCTCCTCATTTCCATTTTTCAGTAATTAATTCCCTTTTGTCGTGTTTTCTTAATTCTACTTCTTGTAAATCCCCTAAACAAATTTTTCTAATTTATACAACATTTTACTTTTCCTTGCAACTCTTCAGTTCAAATTATAAAGTAAGAAAATTATACAATATTCGCAATACTTTTATTTTTAAAAATTATCATAACAACATAACCTCAACCAATAAATATAATTTACGCTACATGTACTTAGTTCAGCTAAAAGCGTAAGTCTAGTTCAAATAAAGTAAAAATCAGCAAAAAGAATAAGGTTTCAAGGAAAAGAATAGTCTAGACTAGGCAGAATGCAGACTCCTGTTTCAAAGTGATTCCAGCAGGGGCAGAAATCTCGAAGAGAGGAAACTCTCGTTAGCTACAGAACAAATGGTGAAGACAGAAAAGGAGGAATCAGGGAATTTTAGTGTACTGTTAGTAGCGTTCGCAAGTAGCATTCTGTTACTAATTGCTTTGTCACAAGACGTGTTCAGTGTTCACGTTCTTTGATGTAAACGCATCCTTAAGGACGAAGTCTCGCCTCGCTGCATCGTGGCCGTGTTAATTACGTTGATACAGGAAACACAAACGAACGGAAAAATCTTCGTGATAATTTAATTTTATTTCTTCTTTCTTCTTTTTTATAATAATCGTTCAACGTTGGTAATCATTTTTTGATATATTTGTATTTTATTATGTCGAAAATTTATATATGATTATATATTGATTATTCTTCTGCGCAATAGGCTCTATTTGTCTCATAACTTTAATCTAATATTAATTCTTTGAAGTTTACAGCAATTAATCTTCACTTCATTTTCTGGGTCATAAACCTTATTATTAATATCTATTATTAAGATCTGTAAGTTCAGAAAAGTTTATACAACTTTTTTATGTTTCAATAGTTTCAATATTTTTGTAGTGTTAGTGTACTCTAGTGTCCTTAATCGAGTTTTAATTAATGGATACGTTTGAAAAATTCAGAATGCTACTTATGGGAAAATGATTTTTAATACTTCTTCTAATACATCACTATACTCTCGACATACTATTCTATATCTCTACATATTATTACTACTATCTACTATTATATATTATTTACTACAATCTACTATTATATATCTCTATATACTATTAATCACTAATATAAACAGAAACTCCTATAGTCATAGAATTATAGGTTAACGATTATAAATAATGATATAATCTATTTTTAATAACACTTAACCTAAGAAGTAACAGAAATAGGATATTCTAAGATGAAGACACTAGTATGTCCATGAGGTAACAGGTTAAAAATATTTTAAACTTAAAGATAGTGATCGATAATCTCAAGATCATCATTTGTTCATCATTAACCAAACACGATCTTTAGGAAGATACGATTTCCATTGAGCAACCAGAAATTGGCAGTCTCTGCTATGAAACAGAAAGACACGCGGGAAGGGAAGGAGGCACGTTAGCTTGAAAATAGGAAGATTAGAATCTAACATAGAACGGAGAGGCTTAATAGACAATGAAGATTTGCGGCTTCGATAAGAAGATCCACAGGAATCCCTCTTCAGTTTTCTCTCGTCGCTCCTTTGTTGAAAGTCCACTCGATGAATTCGTCGTAATTACGACGCCGTATACGCGATCTATATTGCGTAAGCTCAACACTTATTACAATATCTACACTCCCGTTCAAAGGTTTAGAGTCTCCTTACCTTCTTAGATGAAACAAATTGTTTCTTTAATTTGTCTGAAAAATAAGAATATTATAACTCTCAGGTGGGCAAGCAACAGAATATAAACAAAATTTTGGTGAGCACTATAAGGACGTTAATATTTTTTATATTGCTGTTTTTTGCTTATGATTCTAATAGTACAAGCCAATTTCATTTTTCTCTTGCAGAAACGGCCAAATTAACAGAGTAATACGTCATAACCTTAAAAGGGTTCGACGACTAGGATTCATTTCAACGCCTTTTAGAACCGTCCACGTTCTATGGACAATTTAGCTTCCTTTCTCCTCGTTGGAATACATCAAAACGTTGCTTTCCAGGAAGTGCTCTAATGCATTTCGTTTGGAAACAACGGCTTTACATTTGCCTTACGAATGGTCGTTATAGTGACGAAATGTAATTCGGACTTACACATCGTGAGGTTGATATTTTTTGAATTTATTTTCGAATGTGAAAGATTTTTTTTTTTTAATTAAACTTTACTACGGTGCGTAAGATCGATCATTGCTTTTGAGCTTATTTTTCAATATTGGATTGTCTTCATACATTTTTCGCTTTTCCATTTTGATACTACTTGTATGATATTGAATTGTTGGTAATATTTTCAAGGTGGCTGTTATGTTTTATACGCAGAAATATATATGCGGCACCAGAACTTAGACCTTTCGCTTGTTAGTAAACTACGTACTCTGTTAACTAAATTATCTCGACTCCAGACTATAAACGCATAGGTATTGGAATATTAGATAATTAGCTGTTTCATATTTCAATTACCATTATCGTTGAAAGATTAATTTAATTCTAGAATGTTTCACTCTTTTAAAATAGTTGCTGCAGATACAAAAATTTTCGCATCTAAAAACTGTAAAAGTCCTGTATATTTCCTATATACTAGTTAAATCTATTGCTGGTTGTAATAATATTCATAAAATACAGTACTCTTCGTAAATTAGGTGACTAGATATATCTATCAATGGTATTAGTATTATCACAATTGTACATTATCACTAATAACAAAATATAATTAATATACTTCGTAGCAATTGTTTGATTCTTATAGATTATAACAAAGCCTAGGGTTATACTAGTACGATAACTTCATGAAAAAATTCAGTAGCTCCATATTGACAAAGAAATGTATGTGAGATCAGAAGTGGTCCGATGTCCAAAAAGTTTGAAGGTGAAAGTATACATGAGAAAGAAGAAAGTCCAGTCGATGAATACGTTAAGTAGAACGGACAAGACATCGAAAAGGACACGGGAATCGGGCCTGCTTCGGATGGGGAGGG